CTATTATAGCCCGTGCTAGGCATAAAGATAAAAATTATATAATAATTGCAACTAATTACTATATCTTGATTGTAAACTTTCAGTTTAGCTTTGAAACTTGTTCTGGACACCGACTCAACTCGGGTATCTCCTAAATGAGGTGGCGATCTCTTCCTTGTACCATAGTACCATATTAATAAACAAAATAAATATGTGGTTGTATTCTACTGAGTTGTCCAAATTAGGTAGGTGTAAACAATGCTAATCTTTTGGAGAGAGTAAGCTAAAATGCCCACTTTTTTGTCAAAATTTTTGGTCAGAATGACAAAAAGCGAAAAACACAGAGAAGACCACTAGCACATATTCAAATGAGTGTGAGTTCTAAAGACATCAATAGGTGTTCTACAAGTTTGCACAGTACTAAGTTTTTTTAGTGAGTGATAAACTCTGGGCTTGTCGGCAAATAGCGTATGAGAACTATCTCTAAATGACAAGTGCCATACTGCCGTAAGTGATAAACTCTGAGCTTGTTGGCAGGTAGCGTATGAGAACTACCTCTATATGACAAGAGCAGTTCTTCTTACGCCCTTTTTCTATGTCTTATATTTTTTTTGCAGTACATTACTGTTTTTTAGTCAAAAAGTTTTTCGAAAAAATATGGTCCAGATGATCGTCAGAAAGAGTTGTGTAATAGATTGACTTTTATATAGTATATAATATATATATAACAATAATATTAAATATAATAAACTTTTTTTTATTTATTTACTTAAAGTACATATATAATTTATTTTTAACCAAACCCGATCCTATTTTAGTTATTATCCTAAACTTAACCTTCTAACCAATCCCTAACAATAAACCAACCTTATTTCTAACTAACCACCTGGTCCTATTTTAATCCTAACCCTAAATCTAATTCTAAAATCCATTTCTAAACACCCAATCCTATTTTTTAATTCTAATGCTAACCATAATCCAAACTTTAATCCTAACTTTAAATCCAATCTTTTTTAAACCAAACACCAAATCCGATCATATCTAATAACTGAAATCTACTAGATTAAATGTATTAGTGTTTAATATGGCTAAAATTTGTTAATACTTCTCCAACGTCTGATCCAAGATTATTCTCTTGAATGTCTAGAGAAATCAGTGTAGAGTTCTTGCAAAATGCTCTATGATCTGAGATTTTTATTACCGAGCCCAAAGAATTTGGCGTCAAGTTCTTGCCAAGTGCATCTGCTCACTGTTCTGACGTCTAATCCAAATTTTATTAGAATTCAAAGTAGTGCTGGCACAATCAAACAAATATTTGACAGTTAAATACTTGTAATTAAGTCAGATGTCAAATGATCATTTGATGTCCAATTTAATCTTGTAATTTCAAGTTTTAACTGTCAAATATTTGTTTGATTGTGCCAAGTACTAATTCAAAGAAGTTAGAAAAGTGCATCTGCTAATACTTTACCCTATTTAAATCCAAGATTATTTGAAGATTCAAATAAATTGGCATAGTATTCTGATAATGCCTTCCTCTTTCCAATCCAGAAAGTTTGTGTAGTGTCTTTACGAAGTGTATCAGTTAATGCTTTTCCACTTTCTGGCCCAAGATTATTAGTATAAAGACTTAAACATTTTAGGGTATCCATATCCTGCTCCAAAAAAGTTATGTGTTGTTTTTGTACAGTGCAACTACTAATGCCTTCTTTCTTCCTTTTCTGCTTCTGATTCAAGATTATTGTGCAAAGAGGTTGGTGTGATGTTCTTGTAAAGTGCATTTGATAATCTTTTTGGCTCAAAGAAAACACAGTATAACATTTTTAAAAGTATATTAACTAAGAATTATTGTTTCAAAGGTCCAAAGAAGTTGGCGCAGTGCTCTTGCTAATCATGTATTTTCTTTTTGATGCAAGAAAAATTCTTACAATGTGTATTATCTGGTGGTTTTCCACCTTCTGGTCTAAGATTATTAGTATAATACTTCAAAATATTTCAAGGCACAAAGTCAACAACACCTAGAATAACAAAAATACACATATGAAACTCTAACAATTCATCGATGTGGAACCACCCAAGTGATGAAATTCACACAATACCAGAAATGACAATGCCAAAGAACAACCAACAAAGACTTTAGTAACATAACGACGTGGTGCTACCAAGTGATGACAAACGCACCTAAACGATAACATCTGAAAATGGTGATACTTAAAATAGATTCTAATAATGCAATAACACAAACCACTCCAAGCAACGAAACCTACAAGCACACCTAAACAATAACAACTCCCTAAAGTGACTTCAACATTAGCATCTCTAGCAATGATGACACCTACAACGACTGAAGAATCTACAATAACCTAAGTAAAGCATTGTTAATAAAACAATGTTAAATGAACCAAATCATTGTTTATATACTTTGTGATTGTTACATTATATGGAAATACTAGAAAAATTTCAAAATTTTCAAATGTAATTTGTAAAATATAATGTAATAAAATTAAAAGGTTTAAAATATTTCACAATTTTTCAAAAGATTTCAAAAAAATGCGAAAGTTTTCAAAATTATTTGTATTTTCAAATTCAGGACAGTTGGTAATATAAAAAGACCTACTAGTATCGCCACCAAAAATTATGACGTAATCGGGCTTAAATTTATTTTTCATTAAATTTAATAATTGTAAATATTGTAAATGGAAAATTCAAAACTTTGTTCATTTTGTCAAACTATAAAACCCATTTCAAGTGATATTTGCAAGCAAAAAAGATTATGCTGTAAAATCTAAAGAGATTAAACATATAGTATAGTTTATGGATGTTAAAAAGGAAAGCAATATGCATATGAATCTTGAGATTTTTCTTGAATAATTAATGATTAGAAGTATATGACATCGAAGAAATTTTTGCAAGTTCATTACATCTGTTTTCATAAATTCTGAAACACCCTAAAAAAATTTGCCAAAGTCGATTTCAGTATAATTAGTGTATGATTAGTACGTAAAAAAATTTATTGAGTTACTATTACAGACATTGTTTAATCAATATTATATTATATTTGTGAATCTTGTTATTATATAATTGGCTTTGGTATCTTATAATAGCAAACTTGTTTATTGAATATACAGTACATCTTTTTAAAACCAAAAAAAAATTTTTTGCTTTTTTAATATGTAACACTTATATTACGCGAGTAGGCACTAATTAAAAAAATATATATTAAATATGATCATAAGTTGTCAACTAGTTCGAAAAAAACACAAGTTGAAATAAGAGATTAATACTTGCCGACAATGTTTTAATAATTTAATAATTATAAATAAAGTTCAAAGTATGTATAATTCTTTAACACAACCATACTTTTGAAATTGTTTGAGAACTCTTAGCAATTATCTAACTGACAAGCTTTCTAAACGAACATATTTGATTTGTGAGACAAATTTTTTAGAGTGTGAATTGAAACTTAACAACTATATGTACAAATATACATATATACATATCAGATATATGATTTTGGTGATGATATGTACTAGGTGTGTTATATAAAAACTAGAAATATAAGTTTGTAAAACTTTTTGCTTAATGTAAAAAAAGCTGTAATATTATACAAGTAATTTCGAAATATTGCGAAATATCTTACGTAATATTTCGTATTTTGATATTTTGCAATATTTTGAAATTTCTTATGTAATATTACGGCTTTTTTACATTTTGTAAATTATTATGAGATATTACAGTCTTATAAATTTGCTGATGTAAGAGCAATAAAACAAACAGTTTACTATTTTAATACAAAGCTAGAATGAGCAGACTTGGATAGTAAGAAATCCAAAAAACCGTATCAACAATCTAAGGAAAAAAGCAGTATCTTAAAGTTCTATAACACCAATATTAGCTGCTTAACAGATAAAGAAAATATAAATCCAAAAAAGATGACTACAGATTCATTAAAAAAAAAGATATTTATGAACCTAGATGCAAACTTAACAACAACAACAAGAAACAATAGCCTCCAAATAGTCTGAATAGAGGCAAAATTCAAAAAGTAGAAAAAGAGAAAGAAAAAGAGAATATTTAAACAGACTTGCTATATGAAATCTTAAAGAGGCTCGAATTATTAGAAGGATGCCAGAGTGAGGGCAATAGCCCCAATCACTTCTAAAAGACACTACCAGTATTATAACAAATACAAATACCCTGAATAATAGCCAGGTTCAGATACAGATGGTATCTATATTCAACCCATAACTAGTAAAACAAAGAGAGATAAAGTTGGCAATACACAATATAAATAGGCTAAATACACATAGACATAGATTAGATATGTTGCTTAACTAAGGAGAAGAAAATAGGTTTAATGTATTAGAGATTACAGAAACAAATTTGCAAGAGACCGAGACAAGGTTTATAGTAAAGAACAATATTAATTTTAGAAGTTTAGCTTTGAAAACAAAAAAGAAGAGTTTTGGAGTAGAGCTTCTTATTAGAGAAGAGCTAAAAAAACATATAAGCAAAATAGAAAAGCTAAGTGAATTTTTACTAGTAGTATATTTATATTTTAAGAATTACAAAGTGATAATTTTTATAGTATATATCCCTCTAGCAAATAAAGACATCACAAAAGAGATAGAAACTATGATACGAGAAAGAATAGCCAGGTCTTAAGAAGATATATTTATAGTAATAATTGAAGATTTTAATTATATAGTATATTCTACATTAGATAAGTCATTTCAAATCGATAGTAACAAAAAACTGAGAATATATAATTGGCTTAAGAAACAAGAGTTTGTTGACATATACAGACTACTTAATTCACACAAAAAGAAATTTAATTGGAGTAATAGCTTAGTAGCAACAAGAATAGACCAAGTATGGATTTCAAAAAAAATAAAAGAATTAGTATATGAAGCTGATATATATAAGATGACAACAGTTATAGGAAGCGACTATAATCTAGTATATGCTAAAGTTGCTTGGAGTATAACAATATCCTCAGAGAAACAAGTAGATGATTGCTCACCCAACACAAAGCAAAGAGTTTGAAAACTTGACAAAGCTACAAAAAAGAATTGGTGTGATTACCAAAAAGACCTATGGAATCGATTAAATAGTAAAAAGCTCAATATGCTTAAAGGATATACATTACCAGTAGAGGCAGAGATATTAGAACAACTTGAAACAAGTCTTGAACATTTATAGGAAGTGATAGAAAAAGCAATTATACAGGCAGGTTGAAATAACTTGCCAAATAAAGTAATAGACTTTAAAAAAAGGCCAAAATATAAGAGCAAAGAAACCAGATTCTTTAAAGCAGCATCTTCATTAGGCAAAATAATTAGAGAAGCAAATTCAATAAATAAAGTTGCTTTACAGAAGAAGGCTCCATGTGGAATAAGAAGATTAAACAAATAAATACATGGGCCGATAGCAATGTTGATAAAATCAAAGTAACAGAAATATCAATATAGTGTGAAAAAGTGACTACTTGGTAGAAAGTAATAGAAGGCAAGCTAGTGATGAATCATGAAAAAGTTAAGAAAAAAGAAATCCAGCTATATGTACAGAGAAGAGCTGAACAAATTGTGAATAAACAAAAGAAAATATTAGCTAGCTTACTAGAATAGCTATATAACAAAGTTACTTTAAATAGAGTATATACGCAAAACCAAATTTAACTAAGCTAGCAAATGATCTAGCAGAGGTGTTAGAAAAAGTTCGTTTACATTTTCAGAACCAATTTGTAAACAAGAAGAAAGATAGTGCGGAACTAGAAAGTATATAGTGTGGAGAATATCAACCAAAAAAGCAAATTCAAGAGGTCTAATATGACTTACTAAGCTAACTAATTATATTACAGTCTCAGATATTACCAAATAAGAAAATCAGCCTATCACTAATAAAAGACTATTCTAGAATTAAAAAACATAGTATTTTTATTTTTTTAAAAAAAAAATTCATTTAATAATAAATCTTCGAATTAATTTTAATATAGATTGTCTTGTGACTATATAGTTCAGAAAACCTGCATGATCCTGGGAGCTTTAAAAGGTAGTTGTTTACCAAATACAAAGATAAAAGATAATTGGGCGTAAATTTAGCTCTAAAGATCATCATAGATCAAAATAAACTTAAATAGAAATGTTTAGAATTTTCTAATTGTACAAAAAAAGATATGATCTGCATCATTCAAATTTGGTAATATCCAAGACTATATTAGAAAAGTGGCAATCAATTTTGAGCAAAAGCAGTATGAACTCAGTACCTGGAATCTCAACAATCACATATGCGTTATTAAAACAGGCAAATACCAAATTACAATTGGTGTTTAAAAATTTCGCAAAACTATATCTTTGCTTAGGCAATATTTTAAGTAAATGGAAAACAACCCAGATTTATCCAATACTGAAAGGGCAAGATTGGAAATACAATCTAGATAAAGTTAGACCAATCACTCTAGTAGATGTATTTAGAAAATGTATTACAAAGATTCTAACTAAAAGATTGAGTAAAATCATTAAAAAGAAGAACATTTTTCAAGGCTCTAACTTTGCTGATTTACCAGAAAACTCAACAGAGGAACCAGTGTATATACTAAAAGTTCTTATTGAAGAGGTAGAAAAAAACAAGCAAGAAATATGGATCTTGTTTCAAGATATAAAGAAGGCCTTTGATTCTGTAAATCTTACTATAATGCAAAAAGCTTTCAAAAGAATCAAGGTTTCAGATCTGTATTGTAAATTGGTCTACAATCTCTTTGTAAATAGAAAACTAAAAATAATAATATATATAGTTTGTTACAAGAAATCATAGCTGAAGAGAGTATTAATTAGTGTAAGGCTATTTCACTTCTTTTGTAGAAAATTTTCTATGACCTACTATTGGGCTGTATACAAAAAGATACAAGGCTAGGATATAAAGTTAGAGTGCCAGAGCAGATAAAAACCCTACTAGGGATTGAAGAATCTAAAGGTGCAATGCAGGCAGTTCTCGCATATGCTGATGACACTACATGGATTGCAAGTTTAAAAACTCAATTAGAGCAAATAACTCAGATAGCAGAGCAGTTTTTCAAACTAAATAGCATAGAAATTAATAGTAGCAAGTCCAAACTTGTCATACTTAACTCAGAACTTCAGTAGGGACAAAAGGGGAGTTCTGGGACACTTTTTTCACACCTCTATATGACATATTGTTAAAAACCGCTTTAATTGTCATCCTGCTATATTTTATAGCACTTTTATATACTTTAGCTTGGTGTAAATTTTTATATAGCTAGAA